CACCTCTAGTACGAGCACCTCCAGGACCAGCAGCTCCAGCACCTCCAGTACCTCCAGCTCCAGCGCCTCCAGCACCAGCAGCACCAGCACCTCCAGTGTCAGCACCTCTAGTAGCACCTCCAGCACGAGCAGCACCACCAGCTCCGGCAGCTCCAGTACCTCTAGTACGAGCACCTCCAGGACCAGCAGCTCCCGCAGCTCTAGCACCAGTAGCACCAGCACCTCCAGTGCCAGCAGCTCCAGTACCCCCAGCACCTCCAGCACTAGCATTACCATCAGCTCCAGTAGCTTCAGCACCTCCAGTACGAGCACCTCCAGGACCAGCAGCTCCAGCACCTCCAGTACCTCCAGCTCCAGCAGCACCAGCACCTCCAGTGCCAGCAGCTCCAGCACCTCCAGCACCAGCTATACCTCCAGGACTAGTAGGTCTAGCACCTCCAGCACCAGTAGCACCTCCAGGACGAGTAGCTCCGGCACCTCCAGCACCAGCAGCACCTCCAGTACCTCCAGGACTAGCAGCTCCAGTACCTCCAGCACCAGCAGCACCTCTAGTACCTCCAACAGTACCTCCAGCACCTCCAGCACCTTCAGGACTAGCAGCTCCAGCACCAACAGGACCGTACCCTCCACCACCAGGACTGCCTCGCCGAACGATCCACGCACGAATCGCCTGCGGCGAGAGCGTCTCAAGTAGATCAGGCTGCGGTGGCTGTCCAGCTCCAGGACCTCTAGTAGGGTCACCCACAGCTCCACCGCCACTAGGACTCGCAGCACCCCCAGAGTCAGCACCCCCAGTCGCAGCACCCCCAGAACCAGCACCCCCAGGCGCAGCACCCCCAGAACCCTCACCTTCTGTCTCAGCACTCCCAGGCTCAACACCAGCAGTCTCAGCTCCAGAGTCCACAGTAGCAGGCTACGGAGGCGGCGAAGACGGCCGAGGCGGAAAACCAGGGGGGGTCTCCAAGTGTGGAGAGCGGCGAGTGGCCGCCGTGTCGTCAGTGGCGGGGTCACCCCCCTCAGCTGGGCCAGAGGAGTCAGAAGAGATCTCCAGGGGCTCAACCAAGGGGGGTGGGTCTACCTGAGACACACCAGAGGGAGCAGGACCCTGTGGGGGGAGGGGGTCTACCGGGGGGGGGGGGAGGACTGGTACCAGGAAGAGAGGCGCGAGGGGGACCGGGTGGGACGCGTGCGGGTGTAGTCTGTAGAAACAGACAGACTCGTCAAAGGTGACGTCCTGGGAGGAGAAGACTCGACGCGAGCGCGGGTAGTAGAACTGCCACGGCGGGGCGTCGGTGGGGAAGCCAAGGAAGACGCAGCTGAGAGTGCGAGAGGAGAGCTTGCTCGCTTTGGCATCGCGAACAAGGGAGAGCTCGCCCCAGACCCGAAACGCCGACGCATAGCCAACCTTCCCCGTCCACCGGAGTGTGGGCGAGGTCTCTGGCTCAGAGACACGGGGCCAGAGGTTGAGCTGATGCGCAGCGTATCGGACCGCAAACGGCCACAGAAAATGGGAAGCAGCCGCATGGATCATGGAGGTACGAGCAACCTCCATAATCAAGCCAATGCGACGCTCAGCAATCCCATTCTGCTGAGGAGAGGCCGGAAGCGTGAACGTCTGGCGGATGCCCTCGTCTCGACAGAACTCCTCAAGGAGGCCAGAAGAGAACTCACCGCCCCTGTCAGAGTGCAGACGCGGGACTGGCAAGTCCCGACGAAACCGCTCGTGCAGCTGGCGACGAGTAGCACGGATCCAGGGGATCAAAACACCGCTGACGTCCGCCTTGCGTCGCAAGGGGAAGACAGTGGTGTAGCGTGTGTAGTCGTCAACAACCAGCAGGAAGTAGCGCTCCTAGTTCGTTCCACCGACGGGGGCCGGGCCCCACACGTCCATGTGGAGAGTCTGCAGAGGAGCAGTGGTCGGAGGAAACTCGGAGGAGTGAGGAGGGAAGGCACGGCGGTGCAGGCGAGCGCGGGAGGGAGGGCACGGACCTGGGAAGGCCAGAGACAAGGAGACGGGAGTGCATGCTGCGGAGACGCGGCAGTGAGGGGTGACCGAGGCGGTGGTGCCAGAGGAGAGTCTGGTGGGAGAGTACCCGACACGAGCAAGACGCTGCAAGATGACCCGACGCAGACACCCGACTCGACGCAGCCACCTGACCTGACTCAGCCACCTGTGCAGACGCAGTGGTTAGTGTGTACAGACTAGACCTAGGCCATCGAGTGAACGTAGCTAGGTGACGGCCAGTCCGAGAGCACATACAGATCGCCACACGCTGCCCTCCAGGAATAAAAGTATCAACCCAGACATCCTGAATGGCAGCGTTGCTCACCAAGTTCGTTGAGAACGTGGGGAGGTGGGGACCTGACAGAGAACCGGAGGGAACTGCCGGACACGGGAGGACAGTGGAGGCTCGCGCAACTACTGCCCCCCCAGTGGGGTCAGCCAGTGAGACTGGGACAGGTGCTGCAAGTGGTGTGACTGTGGTGCAATCACGAAAGAAGCAACGTGATGCTCCTGAGTCAAGCGTGAAAGTATGCAAGGCCTCAGCTGAGGCAGGACCTGTGGCAGTAGACGCACTAGCACCTAGAGCGTCGGCAGACTCACGAGCACCTAGAGCTGCAGCAGACTCACCAGCACCTGGAGCGGCAGCAGACTCACTAGAACCGAGAGCAACAACCTCTACACGACCAGGGACGCATCGCTGAGAAGCACAGTCGCAAGGTCGCTGAGGCCACATAAAATCAAAGCCTCCACCACCTGGATGAGCTCGCCGAATAACCCACTTACGAAGCTGCTGAGAGGTGGGGTCGTCCGGTAGAGGCAGGGACCGCTGCTGTCCACCCCTAGCCGCTGCAACTGCCGCGATAGTGGCCATGACAGGCAGTGACGGTCAGTAGTAGGTCCAGCACCTCCAGCACCAGCAGCACCTCCAGTACTCCCAGCTGCACCTCCAGCACCTCCAGTACCAGTAGCACCTCCAGCACTCCCAGCAGCACCTCCACCAGCAGCAGCAGTAGCACGAGCACCAGCAGCAGTAGTAGTAGCAGCAGGGCGGCTCAGTGGGGCTGGGCGGCGGCACCTCCAGCACTCCCAGCAGCACCTCCACCAGCAGCAGCAGTAGAACGAGCAGCAGCAGCAGCAGTAGTAGCAGCAGGGCGGCTCGGGTTGGGCAGGGCGGCTCGGGCTGGGCGGCGCGGCTCGGCCTGGGCGGCGCGGGCAGCAGGGCGCTCGCTGTGCAGGGCAGCAGGGCGCGACGCGCGGGCTGCAGCAGGGCGCGACGCGCGGGGCAGCAGGGCGCGACGCGCGGGGCAGCAGAGCGCGACGCGTGGGCTGCAGTAGGGCGCGACGCGCGGAGCAGCAGAGCGCGACGCGCGGGCTGCAGCAGGGCGCGACGTGCGGGCTGCAGCAGGGCGCGACGCGCGGGGTGCAGCAGGGCGCGACGCGCAGGGCAGCAGGGCGCAACGTGCGGGCTGCAGCAGGGCGCGACGCGCAGGGCAGGGGCTGCTCACGGGCAGCAGGGGCGCTCGGGGCAGGGGCTGCTCGCGGGCAGCAGGGGCGCTCGGGGCAGGGGCTGCTCGCGGGCAGCAGTGGCGCTCGAGGCAGGGGCTGCTCGCGGGCAGCAGTGGCGCTCGAGGCAGGGGCTGCTCGCGGGCAGCAGTGGCGCTCGAGGCAGGGGCTGCTCGCGGACAGCAGTGGCGCTCGAGGCAGGGGCTGCTCGTGGGCAGCAGTGGTGCTCGAGGCAGGGGCTGCTCGCGGGCAGTAGTGGCGCGCGGGGCAGAGGCTGCATGCGGGCAGCAGGGGCGCGCGGAGCAGGGGCTGCTCGCGGGCAGCAGGGGCGTGCGTGACAGCAGGGCAGCGCGCTAGGGCAGGCAGTGCGAGTAGTTGCAGGGCAGCGTGACACTGTGCGAGAGGGCCGGACAGCGCACGGGCGCTTCGGGCAGGAACTAGCGGAACGATCGGTGGGCCCTAAAAACCTAACAGGTTTCCTGCTCTGATACCATGTCAGAATCACTGTGCAGGAATGACTAGAAACAAGGCAGTACAGGTTTGTATAGGCTAACCCTAATTGGGGTTGTACCCCATACTGAGTAACCCACTATAGCCTAGCAAGTAGAATGCATTTTTACAATTTCCTCGTTGATTGGGCTCTGGCTGGCTGCGTTTTCTGGGCAGTGTGGCCGACCCGTGGATATCATGCGACTCGGGATTCGAACCGTAGAAAGGACATCCGAAATGCCAGAGACGTTTTGGACTTGGCACTTCGGCTTCAGCTGTACTGTATCTGTGAGACAGCTGCACTGCCGATTCACCAAACTGAAGGGGTCCGCTCCAGCAACCTGCCTGCTGACGACGAGGTAAGAGGGCGTCCATTGAGTGCCTCGGTTCACGATGGGATACATGGTGAGTACACTGCATTAATGGAAAGCTGATAGGCTACTGAGAAGCAAATCACACATGTGAACGGACATGTCTACTAACTAGGTACGCATTGTAATGCATCTAGCTATTAAGAATCTTAGTAAACCAAACCAGAGACGTATGCTAAAAAAACAACTGCAATATCCAACCACATTGGTTTAACACAATACCGCCTTCGAATTGTTTGCACCAAGAACTTTAGCAATACATGCAGCGTTATATATATATATAATAATGTTGATTTTTACATGACAGTGCTGTTCTATGATTCCTGGTGTTGTCCATTTCTCGTGGAAGCCATACGAACATTTCCTAGTTTAAAGCCCGTGTCCCAAATTGCGGGCCGCGCGGGTCAAGCTTTTAAAACTTGAAGAAGTGGGCTGTGCAAGCTTTGAAAAGAAGCGCACCTGCAATTTGGAACTTTCGAGGTCTGACACACCCACAAGGGTAAAAACGAGGGGCTGGCTGGGTTTGGCGAAAAAAACAAATTTGACGAAATCAGAAACACTCGCCAAAGCCCAAACGACCAAAACTCCCTCACGTCAACTTTTTAAAACTTGTGCAATTTGGGTCAACGGCTTTAAGATAGACGTAAGGGGAATAGCAAGGAACGGTGGGGAAGGGTGAGGAACGGTGGAGAATGGTGGGGAATGGTGGGGAATGTGCGACGTGCGGCTGGACTGGAACATGTGTGCAAGGGGAATAGTGGGGAGGGGAGGGAAAGGGTGGGGAAGAGTGTGGAAAGTGCGACCTTCCCTTTTCTCCCCCGTCCTCTTATTGAACTTGCACCACAGTAGCACATGCAATGCCTTCATTACATGGGAGTTCACATGCTGCTATTCCAACCCTTGCCAGGTGCAAAGCAGTATCCATGGCATGGACAACAATCTACAGGCTCGACTACATATTGCAAACAAGAGCGATACAAGCGACAGCATGTTTAATACACTACACCGGGGCCCACACGCCGTTATTCCTGCCCCTTGCCAGAAGCAGCGCTGTATCCATGGCATGGGTGACAAAAGCAGTCTCGGCTACATATTGCTGAAAAGAGCGATGCCACTGGTGACGTGTTCAATACACTACACCGAGGTCCACGTGCCATTGTTCCTGACCCTTGCCGTATCCATGGCCTGGGTGACAAAAAGCAGACTCAACCACATATTTCACTACACCGGGGTCCACGTGCCGTTGTTCCTGACCCTGGATGGGAGCAGCACGGTATCAACCGCATGGACGACGATTGATGGGCTCGAGTACATGTTGCCGATGAGAACCTTCGCGCCCTCTGTGTCCTCCATCCTGTATAGCTTCAGCCAGTAGTCCGTCTGATTCTTCTTCAGTGGTAGCTTGTCAAGGGTTTCCAACTGCCATTAAAATTCAGGGTACAGAGGGATTACAAGAGGGGATGAGTGTATGGAGGATGTGATTGGGGACGAGGAGAGGCGAGAATTCAGGTAAGGATGAGGTGAGAGGTGTAGGAATTGGTGTTTGTACAAGGAAGGATAATACTTTTCAATCTTACCTGAAAGCCATTCCCTAGGGCCTTGATGTCGTCGAGTTCCATCCGACGTGGCAGCACGTGATAGGCCATCACCTGCCAGAGAATACTCTTCTTCCTTTGCAGCCCACCAAAGCGCGTATTCTTGGGCATGCGGAAATACGCTCCATTGGTCGGCGCAAAGATCGTAACGTTGTTGGTGAGGAGTGTATTCATCAGTGTCTCGTTCATACCTGTAAAGATGGAACATTTTGTGGGGTTAGAGATGGATACAGTCAGTTATACAAACAGTATTAATGTCAAACTAGAGTGGAGTAATACTTTATTCGTGAGCGAATGCAATACAGTGCTTGACATGTGCAATGAAAGTGCAGTGCCAAAAAAGTTTTTAGGAGATGTAACTCACCACTCATTCTGATGCCCGTCGCAACCCCCGAGAATTTTCGTTCATACAGAAACGACAGAACCTCGTTCACTTTCGCCAGCGTTGCCTCCTGCTCCACCGTCAGGTTAGACCCCGGCGTTCCGCCTGACGCTCCGCCTGACGCTCCACCTGAAGCTCCACCTGAAGCTGCGCCTGAACCTCCGCCTGACGCTCCGCCTGACGCTCCTCCTCCAGAGCCCGCTCCCCCTCCATTTTGACTTCCGCCTCCTCCGCTCGCTTGCCCTCCGCCGGTCTGACTCCCCGCCCCCCCGCTACCGGTGTGCCCACCAGTGTCCCCCCCGCTCCCCGTCCCACTCCCCGCTCCACTTCCCCCTCCGCTCCCCCCTCCGCGGATCACATCCCCGCCATCCCCCGACGACCTCCCCGATTTAGATCCAGCGTCCGTTCCCGAACCAGTTCCCGAGCCTCCACCCGTACCTGTTCCCTTTCCCGAACCAGATCCGGAGCCCCTTGAGCTTCCCCCTCCTTTCCCCGCGCCTGTCCCCGTACCTTTCCCCGCGCCTGTTCCCGTACCTTTCCCCGCGCCTGTTCCCGTACCTTTCCCCGCGCCTGTACCCGTACCTTTCCCAGCACCAGTCCCCGTACCCTTCCCCGCGCCCGTCCCTGTACCCTTCCCCGCGCCCGTACCCGATCCTTTTCCCGCGCCCGTCCCCGTACCTTTCCCGGTGCCTGTCCCCGTACCTTTCCCCTCGCCCGACCCCGTACCTTTCCCCGCGCCCGTCCCCGTACCTTTCCCCGCACCCGTCCCCGCGCCTGTCCCCGTACCTTTTCCAGCGCCCGTCCCCGTACCCTTCCCCGCGCCCGTACCCGTACCCGTACCCTTCCCCGCGCCCGTTCCCGTACCCTTCCCCGCACCCGTCCCCGTACCTTTCCCAGCGCCCGTCCCCGTACCCTTCCCCGCGCCCGTACCCGTACCCGTACCCTTCCCCGCGCCCGTTCCCGTACCCTTCCCCGCGCCCGTCCCCGTACCTTTCCCCGCGCCGGTCCCGATTTCCGACACCTTCCGCTCTCCTGTTGCCGTTCCTTTACTCCCGCCGGTACCCGCACCCGTCCCCGCACCCTTGCCTGCGCCGACACTCGTCCCAGCGCCGGCTGATTTTCCGGTTCCAGAAGATTTCTTCGTGCCGACCGCTGCCGTCATCGCCATGAGAACGATCGTGCGATCAGAACCGTCGGTTGCAGATGCGGCTTTCACGGATAATGGGGAAGCATTACCGCCTAGCTCCGTTGCTACACCGAGGTCGGTGCTCACGCCGAACGATGTGCTTATATCGAGGGATTGGCCTGCTGCCATGACGTTGGTCCGCTCCGAGCCGTCTGCTGCTGCTTCTGCGGCGGCGGCAGCGGCGGGAAGCAACGGCGACGCGACGAGGGTGAGGAGGAGCAGGAGGAGCGGGACCAGGGCTGACGGGTTCAGGCTGAGCGGGGTCGGGTCAAGCGAGGGTAGGCCGGGAAACTTGAAAGATATGGCGCGGTGATAAACGTGGGACGAACGCGACATGTGCCACGGACGCTTCGACGCCATGATCGATGCCGTCATCGAGTTGATGATGCGCCGAGTCGTAGTCGGTTACGGAAGCCACGAAACAGGGAAATGCGCTGAGTCTTACTAAATAGCCAACGGACGCTTTTTACGGGAGGCACTAGTGTTGGGAGAAGTGGACTCTTACGCCTATGATTTGTACGGTAAGTTATTGGGTCGGCTGAACCACCGTCGAAAAGGGAGCGTCGGTTATGCAAACGCAGTGATGGAGAGGGAAACTCAGAGGCACCCCAGGAATTCGAGTTCTATATACGCCGCACGAGTTGTGCGGCTCGTGAGCAGATATGTCGAACCTCCAAAGTGGATACGTGGTATAGGGAGTGGGCTGACGATATTTGGGGTCTAGCGACTCGATTTATTGAACAGAAGGATATCCATGGAGAGTTGCATTATCAAGAAGCGAGAGCGCCTCAGGTCGCAAGAGTTGTCTGTTGGTAAAGAGCATAAAAACCAAACGTCGTGAAAGAACACCGGTTTATGGTGTCTGGTAGCCGGATGGGGAGCGCTGGAACGTAGTCGAGTCCTAGTGGGCCAGTGTTTTGCGCTGCAGAAGCATTCCGTCGACAATACCAACGTCAACGTCGGCCAAAGAAGCATGTTACGAAAGATGGTGGCGAGGAAAGTGTGAGGTGGGCTGGGTGGGTGGAACTGGGTGGGAAGGGTGGGTGGGGTGGGTGGGAGGGATCGCCGCCAGATTTCAGAATTCCAATTTCCAACAAATTTCCCGGACCGCGGGCGACTCGCCTCACTGCACGAGTGGAGTGTGGGCTAGGTGGGTGGCTCCGTTTTCCCCATTGACCCCCCCACAACACCCATCGCCCTGATTCCTGGGCCGAGTTGCTGCAATGTGGCCGACCCGTGGGTATCATGCGACTCGGGAGACCAAACTGTTTGGGTGAACATCTGAAATATCGGAGTTTTTTAGCAGCCTGGATTACTTCAGGTGTATCCGTGGGACAGCTGTACTGCCGATTCAGCAGTCTGAAGCACATCTGGGGTATACGTGGAACTTTACACACACTGAAGGGGCTCCAGCAACCTGCTGACGAGGTAATGTGCGCTCCATTGAGTGCCTCAGATTTTGATGGGATACATGGCGAGGGGCAAAGATCAAATAGGGGCCGGAAAATAGCACGGGGGTGTCCGAATTAGGGCCGGGTAAATCTCAACCGTTCGATACATCCCCGGAGCTGCTCATGTGTCTGGGCCAATAACCCGAACCGATTGTTTGAGGAAATTACTAGAATAGCGAAGGGTTGCTCCCTCCCGAAAATGCGTCCAGGTTCTCGAAGGGTTTTAGTTTTGTTTCCCTGCCCTAACAGTCCCGGTAGTGTCGTCTAGTGCTCGGTGGCGCTAGCGACGTAAAGTTTCCTCTCAATCAGTCACGACGCGTCAGGACCTCTGACAAGTGAAATAAATTACGCTATTTGAAAATGCTGGTTTTTAACTCCAAAAGACCAGGTTCGGTTACCCGGCCCTAATTTGGACACCCCCGAGCTATTTTTCGGCCCCTATTTGATCTTTGCCCCATGGCGAGTACATTGAGCTGACAGGATACAACGAAGCAATCACTGTAGTGACTACACGATTTTGCGACTAGGGAAGCATTGTTCCATATGCTACATAAATATTTAAACAAAGCTTTGCCAAGGTGGTCGCATACGGACATTCGAACATTTTGCCCTAGTAATTTTCTGTTTCCGTGTGGAGTGGAGTCTGAATGCTGAATGTATATTCTTTATAGGGTGCTATAAGTGTTGTTCTAGGTTTGCTGGTACTGTCCATTTCTCATGGAAGCCTAAAAACGAATCCCTCGTGGTGAACATACGCGTGTACGCCATCTGTTGGCTGTCCCATGCAGAAAATCGAGAACGACAGAACCGAGAGTACAGCTTGGTGTTTCCTGCCAGCTACACTGTTCTCCCCGCAAAAGACGGCTGTTTCAAACTAGGTTGGGCCACTCGGTCCCTCGAGATCATACTACCGCGTCGCGTCTCACGCTAGGGGCGGTTAGATTACGTCGCGGCGGCGTGTCGAGCAGGGAAAGCTAAGCTCATATGAATAGCTGAGGAATCGATGTTAGGTGCTTTGTAACCTCTCGAGTTCCTCTCTCCAGCTCCTGGTTTTTGTGGACTTGTCCTGTCAGAAGTCAGAAGTATAGAATTTCAAGGAATAAAAACAATATTGAATTCATGTACGCGAATGCCGTCCCCTCTCCGGTTCGGAATCGCAGTCGATCGTCGCTAGAAGTCAGAGGAAGCCGAAACTCGCTACAAGACTTCTCGTTAGACGAAGCAGACATCACACCAGCACCATCATCACCACCACCGGCATTCTCCAATCCCGCTTCCTCCGCCGCCACCGCCGCCGCCACCGGTGCCGCGGCCGCGGTCACAACCCTCATCCCCGCAGCAGGAAGCATTTTTTCCCGCTTAAGCATGTTTCGTTCTAGTCCCGTATCGGGAAGCAGGTACGTGTCTCCAGTCCGGCCCGAGCCGCGCGGCGGAAAGGACGGCGGCAGCGACATCGACGAAGGCGACTCCGTCCACGACGAAGCTTCCTCGCTGCTTCGCTCGGACGCGAGGCCGTTTCCTACGCCCGTCGGTGCTGCTGGGGGCATTTTCGGCGGGTACAGCGGCGGCGGCGGCGGCGGCGGGTTTAGGAAGGCGAAGCGGAGGCTAAGGACGCTGGCGGCGTGCGCGGCGCTGGTGGTGGCGGCGCTGGTGGTGGCGGCGTGCGCGGTGGTCGACGTGGCGGACGCGTGGCTGGGATTCGGCGGGACGCGACGGGCGGCGGGACTGGAGCGATGCGTGCCGCAGGACATCCCAGGTAGATGCAAGGGGAGTGGTGGGGAACGGTGGGGAGGGGTGGGGAATGGTGGGGAAGGTGCGTTGGGCAGCGGGACTGGAGTGATGCGTCCTGCAGGACATCCCAGGTAGATGCAAGAGCAATGGCGGGGAGCTGTTGGCAGTGTTGGGAGGGGCGGGGACTGGTGGCGAACGGTACAGAATGGTGGGGGGTGCTGGCGAATGGTGGCGATGGTGGGGAGTGAGTGTGCTCCCACAGTCAAGGAGGGAGTGCACGCACGCAGAGAGCCCCACCAGACAATCTGCTGCCTGTAGACGACGCTTGTCCCTGTCCCCTTCCTTTCTCTCGCCTCCCCTTCCTTTCCCACCCCAACACCCCTCCCCCCCACCCCTCATCTCTGTGGGATGAGACGAGTTTTGAGGCGCCTCAAGACTCGTCTGTAGACGACTCTTCCCCCCCGCTCCCTCCTCGGCCCCCTCTCCCCCTCTCCCCCACCCCCCGCCCTCTTGTGGCTGCTGCTGTTGCTCGTACATGACTCTTGCGCCCCTCTCTCCCCGCTTTCTCCCTCCCTCCGTCTGCCATTCCCCCCCCCCAACGCCGCAGTGCCATCACTCTCTGAGATGACAGTGCAGGAGACGGTGGGGCAGATGATGAGAGGCAGCAGTAGCCAGTGCAGGAGAAGGTGGGGCAGGAGAAGGTGGGGCAGCGCTGGGGCTACTGCTACTCCCGCTGCTGCTGCTGCTGCTTCTGTGGGTACATGACTCTTGTGCCCCTCCCCTTGCTAACCTCCCCTGCCCCTCTCCCCTCTGTCCCAGTGCCATCACTGGCGGAGATGGCAGTGGAGGAGAAGGTGGGGCAGATGATGCAGATAGACGAACGGGCGCCGAGCCTATAGCTGCTGCTGCTGGTACATGTCTCTTGCGCCCCTCCCGTTGCTCTCCCCCACTACCCCTCCCCCTCTATGCCAGTGCCATCACTGGCGGAGATGACAGTGCAGGAGAAGGTGGGGCAGATGATGCAGATAGACGAGCGGGCGCCAGGGCTGCTGATTCACGACTCATGCGCCCTTCTCTTCCCCGTTCCCCTCTACTCTCCGTGTACCTCTCTCCCCTCTTCCCCTCTTCAACCAAACCCAGTGCCATCACTGGCGGAGATGACAGTGGAGGAGAAGGTGGGGCAGATGATGCAGATAGACGAGCGAGTAGGGCTGCTACTGCTGCCGCTGGTACATGGCTCATGCGCCCCTCTCTCCGCCTTTCCCCTCTTCGACCACATGCAGTGCCGTCACTCTCCGATATGACAGTGGAGGAGAAGGTGGGGCAGATGATGCAGATAGATGAACGGGCGCTGGGATACGGAGACAACATCACAGTGTACCATATTGGATCAGTTCTTAGGTGAGTCTTTCTCTCAGGTGAGCCCTTGCCTCAGTGCAAGCCTTTCCCTGCTCCTGCGCCCTTTTCTTTGTGCTGGGAGGGAGACATGGAGACAACATCACAGTGTACCATATCGGATCGGTTCTTAGGTGAGTCTTTCTCGAATGGTCCTTCTCAAATGGTCCTTCGCTGGTGCTCTCCTCTGTTAGACTGAGTCATTATCAGGCGCGCTTTTCTTGTTGGGGTGGTAGGCAAGGCAACATCGGAGTGTACCATATTGGATCAGGGGGTTTGTTATACGACGTGACTTTTGAGTCTTGTTGTACGACGTGACTTTTGAGTCGACTCAAAAGTCATCAGGGAGTTTGTTGTGCGACAAGTCCTTCTTAGGTGCGTTTCTTCTCTTGGGACTAGGGAGGCATGTTTCCACAGCTCATTTCCCCGATTCCTCCTCTTGAGGTTCAGACATATCTCAGTGAGCTGCGTGCGTGCAGTAGGCTTAAAGCCAGGGTCTCATGTACGGGTTGGCCGTGCAACTGCAAAGCACTTGGGCGAAAAGTGGGTTCTTTGGAGAGTCTCGATTTGTCAAAACTTTGGCCCCAAATTTGTAAACCAATCAGACAGGCCCGTTTTTCATCGACTGCAAAGCACTTGGTCTACTTGAGACCCTGGCTTTAAAGCAAAGGAAAAACAGCGGTAAAAATCCGCTCTTGTGTAAAACTAAGTGCTCAGAACGATCGCTTGGGACTAGGGAGGCATTTTTCCACAGCTCATTTCCCCGATTCCTCCTCTTCCTTCCCCATCCCTCCTTCCCCGTGTTGTTTTCTTCCCCCCCGCCCTCGCCCTCCTCCCCTTATATTCCATCAGTGGGGGAGGGGCATGGCCGCAGTACGCCCCCAACACCCCCACAGCATGGGCGGACATGGTCGATAACTTCCAAGCGAAGGCAAGGCGCTCAACACGCGCCTGCTCCCATCCTCCCTTTGGCGTTCCTCCCCTCCTCCCCGTGTGCTGCTCTCGCTCCTCCCCTTGTTGCTTCTCCCTTTTACAGTGGGGGAGGGGCATGGCCGCAGTACGCCCCCAACACCCCAACAGCATGGGCGGACATGGTCGATAACTTCCAAGCCAAGGTTCCCAACACCCATCAGCTTCCCTCCTCCCCGTGTGCTGTCCCTCCCTCCTTCCCCTGTATTCCATCAGTGGGGGAGGGGCATGGCCGCAGTACGCACCCAACACCCCCACAGCATGGGCGGACATGGTCGATAACTTCCAGGCCAAGGCGATCAACAACACCCCCCCTGCTCCCCTCCCTGTGCTGTCCTGCCCGTACACCCCTCCGTGTGTTATTTCTTCCATCAGTGGGGGAGGGGCATGGCCGCAGTACGCCCCCAACACCCCAACAGCATGGGCGGACATGGTTGATAACTTCCAAGCCAAGGCGCTCAACACGCGGCTGCGGGTGCCACTGCTGTACGGGGTGGACGCGGTGCACGGGCACAACAACGTGCAGGGGGCGACGATTTTCCCGCACCACGTGGGACTGGGGGCAGCTGGGAATGCAACCCTGGTAGAAGAGATCGCTGCTGCTGTCGCCAAGGTACGATGTCTCTCTGAGTTGAGCCCAATGCCCAGGTCAGACCCCGATCAGCACTCACCTGCTGCGGGTGCCGGTGCTGTATGGAGTAGACGCGGTGCATGGGCACAACAACGTCCAGGGGGCGACTATTTTCCCGCACCACGTGGGGCTGGGGGCGGCTGGGGATGCCACACTTGTAGAGGCGATTGCTGCTGCTGTGGCAAAGGTAAGTTGAGGATGTGTGAAGGCTTGGGCCAAAGTGCTCACTACTGGCCTCCTGCGGGTGCCGGTGCTGTACGGAGTAGACGCGGTGCATGGGCACAACAATGTGGAAGGAGCGACCATCTTCCCCCACCACGTGGGGCTGGGGGCTGCTGGGAACGCCACGCTTGTTGAAGCCATTGCTGCTGCTGTTTCTAAGGTGAGTTAGGGCGTTGAGAGGGGAAGGTTCAGGGCACGGCACTCACCTTGAGAGTTATCAAAGTGATTCCTGAGAATTATCAAAGCGCCCTGAGAATTATCAAAGCGCGCCTCATCTTGAGAATTCTCGAAAATGAGAGGTGAAGGCTCAGGCCAAGGCACTCACCGTGTGCCGTGTTTTGAGTCGACTCAAAACAGGCCAAGGCACTCACCGTGTGCCATGTTTTGAGTCGACTCAAAACAGGCCAAGGCACTCACCGTGTGCCGTATTTTGAGTCGACTCAAAACAGGCCAAGGCACTCACCGTGTGCCGTATTTTGAGTCGACTCAAAACAGGCCAAGGCACTCACCGTGTGCCGTGTTTTGAGTCGACTCAAAACAGGCCAAGGCACTCACCGTGTGCCATGTTTTGAGTCGACTCAAAACAGGCCTAGGCACTCACCGTGTGCCGTATTTTGAGTCGACTCAAAACAGGCCAAGGCACTCACCGTGTGCCGTATTTTGAGTCGACTCAAAACAGGCCAAGGCACTCACCGTGTGCCGTGTTTTGAGTCGACTCAAAACAGGCCAAGGCACTCACCGTGTGCCGTGTTTTGAGTTGACTCAAAACAGGCCAAGGCACTCACCGTGTGCCGTATTTTGAGTCGACTCAAAACAGGCCAAGGCACTCACCGTGTGCCGTGTTTTGAGTCGATTCAAAACAGGCCAAGGCACTCACCGTGTGCCGTGTTTTGAGTCGACTCAAAACAGGCCAAGGCACTCACCGTGTGCCGTATTTTGAGTCGACTCAAAACAGGCCAAGGCACTCACCGTGTGCCGTGTTTTGAGTCGACTCAAAACAGGCCAAGGCACTCACCGTGTGCCATGTTTTGAGTCGACTCAAAACAGGCCTAGGCACTCACCGTGTGCCGTATTTTGAGTCGAATCAAAACAGGCCAAGGCACTCACCGTGTGCCGTATTTTGAGTCGACTCAAAACAGGCCAAGGCACTCACCGTGTGCCGTGTTTTGAGTCGACTCAAAACAGGCCAAGGCACTCACCGTGTGCCGTGTTTTGAGTTGACTCAAAACAGGCCAAGGCACTCACCGTGTGCCGTATTTTGAGTCGACTCAAAACAGGCCAAGGCACTCACCGTGTGCCGTGTTTTGAGTCGATTCAAAACAGGCCAAGGCACTCACCGTGTGCCGTGTTTTGAGTCGACTCAAAACAGGCCAAGGCACTCACCGTGTGCCGTGTTTTGAGTCGACTCAAAACAGGCCAAGGCACTCACCGTGTGCCGTGTTTTGAGTCGACTCAAAACAGGCCAAGGCACTCACCGTGTGAAGTGTTTTGAGTCGACTCAAAACAGGCCAAGGCACTCACCGTGTGCCGTGTTTTGAGTCGACTCAAAACACGCCAAGGCACTCACCGTGTGCCTTGACCCTCTCTGAGGGTAATGCTGACTGACCCCTTATCCTCCCCCTCTCGTCCCCGTTTCCCCCATGGCATGGCAGGGTGTAGCGGCAATGGGAGTGAGTTGGCCGTTCGCTGCTGCGGTCACTGTGTGTGTGTGTGCCTCCCCTTATCCTCCCCCTCGACCCCCGCTTGGGCCGTTACTAAAAAATACACTGCGGTCACTGTCTACCTCGACCCCCGCTTGGGCCGCTACACGAGAGCTTTGGATTGGAGCTTTCCACACATCAGTCCTAATCACTCCACTCCCCCCCTCCATACCCCACTCATTTCAGGAAGTGGCAGCAACAGGTGTGCGGTGGACGTTCGCCCCTGCCGTCACCGTGTGTCTCGACCCTCGCTGGGGCCGCTGCTACGAGAGCTACGGGGCGGATCCAGGGCTTGTAACGGAGCTTGCTATAGCGGAGATACGCGGATGGATGGTGAGAGAAGAACAATGACCGGGAATGGGGAAACCGGGGAGGTTAGCTCTTACAAGCCCTGGGTCTCTTGTGATGGGGAGAGCGCAAGAGACGCGGGGCTTTGGGGCGGTCCAGGACTTGTAACGGAGCTTGCTATAGCGGAGATACGCGGATGGATGGTGAGGACAGCTAGACTAGAGAGGGGGAAGTGGGGGTTAGTGGGGCCGCTGCTTCGAGAGTTATGGGGCGGACCCGGGGCTTGTAACAGAGCTTGCTATAGCGGAGATACGCGGATGGATGGTGAGGACAGCTAGACTAGAGAGGGGGAAGTGGGGGTTAGTGGGGCCGCTGCTACAAGAGCTTTGGGGCGGACCCGAGGCTTGTAAGTTGTAACAGAGCTTGGTATAGCGGAGATACAACTCGAGAAGGAGAAGGGGGGTTAGTGAGGGATGGGGAAGAAGGGGGAATTATCATACCCCTTTTTTTCTTCTCCCAACTGCCTGCTGCACGTTCTTTTCTTCTTCAAGTCAATTTTCGGGCCTGCATTATTCTCTTTCCTCGTTGCACGTGTGTTTCTCATTAAGAAGACATTATTTTTTTCGGTGCAACAAATTCAGAAAAACAGCACTTTCTCCTCCTCCTTCAACTCCCCTGTTCCGCCCCTCAGAAAGTGCCTCCCGAGGCGGGGAACTTTCCAGGAAACGTCTTCATGGCGCCAACAGCAAAGCACTACGTGGGGGATGGGGGCACGAGGGGAGGCGTGGACCGGGGGGAGACGGTAGGGGGGGAGGCGGTGCTGAGGAAGGTGCATCTGCTGCCATACGTGGCGGCTGTAGCGGAGGGCGTGTCGACCATCATGGCCAGTTACAGCAGCTGGAACGGCACCAAGATGCACGGCAATGGGTGAGTGTGCTACAGCTGGGGGCAGTGGGTGAGTGCATGGATGGAATGGAAGCAGGTTGTAGCGGAGGGCGTGTCTACCATCATGGCGAGCTACAGCAGCTGGAATGGCACCAAGATGCACGGCAATGGGTGAGCTACAGAGGCTACAGGTGCCTTCTCCCAGTCACCTTTACATCTTTACGGGCAAGTTGGAACCTCGACTCGCTTCAACCGCCCGCCCCTTCACCTTCCACTTTCTCCCCCCCCACACCAGCTATCTCTTGACGGACGTGCTGCGCAAGGAGCTGGGCTTTGTGGGCCTCATGGTGTCTGACTGGGAGGCAGCCTCCACCCCTCTCCACCTCTCTCCACCCCTCTCCACCTCTCTCCACTCCTTGAACACCCCACTCCTCCGCCTCCCTCCAGCTATCTCCTGACGGACGTGCTTCGCAAGGAGCTGGGCTTTGTGGGTCTCATGGTGTCGGACTGGGAGGCGCTCAAGGAACTTCCGGGAAGTCACGAGGATCAGGTACATTGAAGTACTTTTCCTGGTTTTTTTTGTTTTGTTTTTTTTGTCCGCCTTACTTTTCTCCCCCATCTGCTCTCGACACATGATCATGGACCGTGGTTCTCAATGACCTTGCTCTCTCTCTTCTCTCGGTTTTCCCCTTTCCATAATCTCTGCCTCCCTCATCCCCACGTTGCCCTGGGGGTCAACTCAGGCCTCGATATGATTATGGTTCCCAACGACTTTGCCAATATCTCCAACCTCATAGCGTGTCTCTCTTTGCTACTCCCTCCTCATTACCCGCCACTCTCCACTCCCCAGGTTGCCCTGGGAGTGAACTCAGGCCTCGATATGATCATGCTTCCCAACGACTTCGCCAATTTCTCAGCCACCCTTCTCACCCCTGCTCATCTCTCCCTGCCTTTACCTCTCACCCTCCTCCTCCCAAACATCCCCAGGTCGCCCTGGGTGTCAACTCAGGCCTCGATATGATCATGGTTCCCAACGACTTCGCCAATTTCTCAGCCACCCTCACCTCTCTAGTCAACTCGGGGCGCGTTCCCATGTCGCGGATCGACGAGGCCGTGTCGCGCGTTCTCTCGCTTAAACACTCCCTAGGTCTGTTTGACAAGGACTTGGTGTGTGCGCGCCACTCCTCCTCCTTCTTCTCCTCCACTTCCTCCTCGCTCTCCGCCCGCTTCCTCCCATTTTTCGGCTGCCCAGAGCACCGCCAACTTGCCCGAAAAGCTGTAGCAGCCTCGCTGGTTCTTCTACAGGACAAGTGGAGGAGAGGGGGGACCGGAAGCGGGTACAACGCTGCCGTCTGGGGCCGGGGCAGGAAGAAAATGTTTCCGCTGCCCGTGGACGGGGCGAAAATCGTTGTTGCGGGCAGCCACGCGAATGACATTGGGAGGCAGTGTGGGGGATGGACTATCACATGGCAGGGGGAAGAGGGTCCTATCACCAAAGGCACTACTATTTGGCAAGGGCTCAAAGAGCTAGTTGCCGGCCGAGCGGCAAGCCTAACCTATATCGGCTACCCGCCTGAAGACGACCGTTATGAGAACGGGACGAGGAAAAGGCCGCTCGAAGCCACCGGGGAGGCGGCAGCAGTGTGGGCGAAGCGGGCGAGGAGTGTAGAAGCCGACCTTGGGATTATAGTTGTAGGGGAGCCGCCTTATGCCGAGTACAAGGGGGATGATCAGCAGCTGGAGTTGAGCGGCCCTGCCCGGTCGACAATTTTCGGGATTTGCGGGCGGATCCCATGCGTTGTGGTGGTGGTTTCCGGGCGGCCACTAAATGTTACAGGCATGTTACCGCACCTGGATGCGTTAATAGCAGCGTGGTTACCCGGGTCCGAAGGAGGGGGTGTAGCCGACGTGTTATTTGATGACACGATGGATTTCAACGGGAAATTACCCTTGCCGTGGTTCCGTTCGGTCAGGGACTTGCAGCCGGACCACTCCCCTGGCCCGAACCCCCCTTTGTTTCCCTTGGGGTTTGGGCTGAGAAAGACTGGTGACCTGCTAGGTACCAGGGAGGGAGGCGATGGGGCACCATAGGGAGGGGAGAGACTTGCAGCCCGACCACTCCCCTGGGCTTAACCCCCCGTTGTTCCCCATGGGGTTTGGCCTGAGTAAGACTGGTGATCGGATAGGTATCATACCACGCAGGGAGGAGAAGGGGCAGCATCAGGAGTGGCGGACCAGCATTGGGACGGGAGGTGGTAGCATAGGATAGGGTGATTGTCAGCGTACCTACAGTACGATGGAACCATGCAATGCGGTAGAGGTGAAAGCATGTGATGATTACCAGCACAGCAACCGGTTACCACCACGACTGGTTACCATGTGGTCAGTCTGTCCCAGGCGCAGGAGTATATATTTAGTGGCGAAATGGTCGAAATGGTCGACCAAATGGTCGCCACAACAGCAGCAATGGTCGAAATCGGCAACAAGGACAACAATGGTCGGAATGGTCGACCAATTGGCGAAATTTACTCGCAAATCGGCAATAACGCCGAAATGGTCGACCGTTTTGCTTCACATACTCAACTCACGATGTCCAAGACGCAGCCCTTACAAATCCCATCCATCCCATCCCATCCCAGTTTGCATGGAGATTCATTTCAGGGCACACCATCTCATTTCATAAAGATTTGTTAGATTAGGAGAGGACTTAGGAGACTAGGGTATGGGGGCTTGCATGAATGTCGAGAAGGTTGAGCAAAGAAGAGCGGTTCACTATAGAGTTGGAAGTACAAGTAGGCAAGAGCAAAGGGATAGGGTGCACCACCAACGGTTGATTCTAATAGCTAACTAATACACTAGCAAGCTGTAGACAGTTATAAGATATATAATTCAACACACCCCCGTAACTGCCTACGGCTTTAGCTAGTGGTGTCTGGCACCAGGTCGCCTGGAGAGTGGTTGCTGTAGCTGGGATAGGCACAGAAACAGCGGTGGCTGACCGGCAGCACCTGTGAAAGCCAGAACGGAGGAGGGCGCGGAGAGCGCGGAGGAGGGCTGGGATAGCCGGAGGGCGAAGGATGCTGGTCGCTCGCCATCTACGAGCAAACACAACTGTTGGTGAGGAGGAAGCTGCTGGTGGAGCACAGGAGGAGAGCAGAGGAGAGGCGGCTGGAAGAGAGGAGATAGGAGGAGGAGATGCGGCTGGAGGAGAGGAGAGGAGGAGGAGATGCGGCTGGAGGAGAGGAGAGGAGGAGGAGATGCGGCTGGAGGAGAGGAGAGGAGAGAGGAGGAGGCGGCTGGAGGAGAGGAGAGGAGGAGAGGAGAGGAGAGGAGAGGAGGAGGATGATTGGCGGCGGCTCTGGGTATGCTCGTCACCCCTTCACCCTCCCCCTCCCGCCACCCACTCACCCTTCCCCCCCACGGCTGCATCCGCGGAAGGGAGAGAGGGGGGGAGAGGGGCGGCGGTTGAGTTTGCAGAATCCTTCTCGCCACCCCCTTACCCTCCCCCCCACAGCCCGCCACCTCCACCTCCACCCCCGTGTCTCCCCACTGGCCGCCACCCCCACCACCTCGCGCTAACACGGCAGCAGTCGCTAGCGCGGCTGGCGCTGGCGGGAGCATGGGTGGGGGGAACGGGGAGCCGCGACAGAGGTCGCGCAGGGCGCGACGGGATGCCGCACCAGAGGCGCGGCAGGGAGCCGCGATGGGGGTCCGCGGCGAGCGTGACGGGGGGGCACGCACAGTTCGCCGCCATGACCGTTGCGACCGTCGCGACAGGTTCAGAGACTGACGCGCGACGGGGGGCGAAACGAGAGAGGCGCGACGGGGAAGCCATGAGAGAATGAACGGGTGGGCCCATTTAGGTCCGAGGAGCTTAGTAGCTCAATACCATGTTAGATTAGGAGAGGACTTAGGAGACTAGGGTATGGGGGCTTGCATGAATGTCGAGAAGGTTGAGCAAAGAAGAGCGGTTCACTATAGAGTTGGAAGTACAAGTAGGCAAGAGCAAAGGGATAGGGTGCACCACCAACGGTTGATTCTAATAGCTAACTAATACACTAGCAAGCTGTAGACAGTTATAAGATATATAATTCAACAAGATTGTCCATGCATGCCGTTTGGTAACGAAACTTTCGCTTGCCACCTCAAAGTTCTAGACAAACCATCCAGCTCAATTCATATACCATCACAAACTGATATTTACAAAAGCACATTGGCACTGGCGGGCCACTCTTTGGAGGCTAGGGCTCGTAACACTGCAGCTGCTGTCCATTGTTTTGCCGCCCTTTTCGAGGGCATTGATCTACCTTCAACCCGCACCACCGTAGATCCGTCAGCTGCTTTCACCACACAATCGATGCAATAGCCGTCACCTAGAAACCTGAAAATAGAAGAGAAGGTATTAGTAATCGGAACAGCATTGATCTCACTGCTTGGTGGATTAGCGAATTAATTTAATGAGAAGTTACATACCTGGGAGCACCAGTGTTTTGAGACGTCTCAAAACACTTCTTTTATTACATACCTGGAAGCATCAGTGTTTTGAGACGTCCCAAAACACTTCTTTTATTACATACCTGGAACCATCAGTGTTGCCACCAGCAGCAGGTTCACAGCTGCCACCACCAGCCGCCTCCCAACCACCACCAGCCGCCTCCCAACCACCACCAGCCGCCTCCCAACCACCACCAGCCGCCTCCCAACCACCACCAGCCGCCTCCCAACCACCACCAGCCGCCTCCCAACCACCACCAGCCGCCTCCCAACCACCACCAGCCGCCTCCCAACCACCACCAGCAGCCTCCCTACCACCACCAGCAGCCTCCCAACCACCACCAGCAGCCCCCCAGCCACCACCAGCAGCCTCCCAGCCACCTCCAGCCGCCTCCCAACCACCACCACCACAAGCAGCACCGGTAGAACCACCAACACTTGAATCACCACCGTTGATTACACCACCATTGCTAGATCCAGCATTCACTGGCACATCCCCACCAACAGCAGCAGCAGCAGCAGCAGGAGCAGCAGCAGGAGCAGGAGCAGCAGCAGCAGGAGCAGCAGCAGCAGGAACAGCAGCAGGAGCAGCAGCAGCAGCAGGAGCAACAGCAGGAGCAGCGGCAGCAGGAGGAGCAGCAGCAGCAGCAGCAGGAGCAACAACAGGAGCAGCAGGAGCAGCAGCAGGAGCAGCAGCAGCAGCAGGAGCAGCAGCAGGAGCAGCAGCAGCAGCAGTAGCAGCCGCAGCAGCAGTAGCAGCAGGAGCAGGAGCAGCAGCAGTAGCAGCAGGAGCAGGAGCAGCAGCAGCAGCAGCAGGTGCTGCAGGCGCAGCAGCAGTAGCAGTAGCAGCAGGAGCAGGAGCAGCAGCAGTAGCAGCAGGTGCTGCAGGCGCAGCAGCAGTAGCAGGAGCAGCAGGAGCAGCAGGAGCATCAGCAGGAGCAGGAGCAGGAGCAGGAGCAGGAGCAGGAGCAGGAGCAGGAGCAGGAGCAGGAGCAGGAGCAGGAGCAGGCACTGCAGGCGCTGCAGAGGCGCACCCAACAGTAGGCCCACCTTGGGCGGATCTAATCCAAACTACAGCAGACTTTCTCCTTGAAGTTGGAGATATTATTCTCTCACTGTACACTACCGTCCATCGCCGCGCCTGGCACAAATTACGCAGGGTAGTTATAACCGCCGGACCTGGCTCACAGCCTCGGAACCCAC